AGGCTCACATACACCCCCTGAAACAACGGCACTTGCGCATCATTGACTATCTGTGCCTGGCCAGTGCAGGAAATGGTCAACTAAAGGTAATGTCTCTTTGGACAAAGGCAGGGTAAGATTTTAAACTAAAAAGGTCTGGTTATGCTCCAGCTAGTTAATCTTAAATCTGTATTAATACTATAAGTTAAGTTTAAATTGTTTAAAAATAGTAGTAGTCAATAGTTAATCAATATATAGTAACTATATATGCTTTGTGCCTTGCTGGAAACGGGTATAGCATTGGTAAAGTTAGTAGTTTATAAATCATAGTGGCTTTGCAAGTTGCTGTGCCTGTCATCAAGATATCATCAAGTTATCATAAAGGGCAATAAAAGTTTATAAGTTGTTAGATAAAGTTATAGATAGGTTAAGGTTAGTAAAATATGGTTAATCAATGTATTAGTATCGCATGTAAAGGTGTGTTTGTTGGATGTGGTTACAGTACATGCAAGGTTGCTAGGCAATCAAAATTAGTAGCGTTGCATGTGCTTGTAACTATTTCCAATATTATTTGCCTTTTATATATGTTCTTATAGGAATTAATAGTTAATGCATAATATTACTTGTACGTGTGCTTGCCTCCAGTATAACTTGCCATTTGTATTAATCCTCACTCAGTGCTGGTCTTTAATTCTGTTTTTCTTATTCTGCCTGTGTTGCCTTTATAGTCATAAGTCATTAAAAACCTTTCTTGAGGAATAATTAGTTGTTCAGTTCTCTTTTGCGGACACTACTCAACCTCATTACATCTGTGTTGGGTGGTGGGAAGTAGCAATCACCCAGAGTCCCACTAGGGCCCTAACGTGAGCCCCCCTAGGGCTCTGACGTGTGCCTCCTCCTTCCATTAATCTCCACATCTGCCTGTTAGGAAGTTTTTCCTAATGTCCAGCCTAAACCTCCTCAATGCAATTTAAGCCCCTTGCTGCTTGTCCTATCCTCAGAGGTTAATGATAACAATTTACCTCCCACCTCCTTGTAACAATTTTTCATGTACTTGAAAACGGTTATCATGTCCCCCCTCAGTCCTCTCTTCTCCAGACTAAACAAACCCACCTTCCTGCCCCTCTGATTAAAAGAGGGCCAGAACTGAAAGACTTGCCCACTGTGAGGGGGTACTAAGTGTGTTAACCACTAGTAGGGTGACCAGACAGCAAATGTGAAAAATCGGGACGGGGGTGGGGGGTAATAGGAGCCTATACAAGAAAAAGACTCAAAAATCGGGACTGTCCCTATAAAATCGGGACATCTGGTCACCCTAACCACTAGGCTACCTAACCCACCAATGAGTCTATTACACTTCTACAGGGGGATCCAATTGTGTACAAACACTGACCAATTTCTAGATCTCGTTTCACTAAAACATAAACAGAAAGAGATATCAAATTTGTTTATGAGCTTTCTTTCCCTTACATGTTATTTCTCTTTATCATTAATACAAAGTTAAGGCTGGGTGATTATTTTTATTCAACTTCCTTTTTTCTGTTGCTTCCCCACAAACACCCCCAATAACATTTTGGTGTGAAGTTTATCTAGTTTATAAAACTAGATTAAGTCTAAACTTTGGGGTAACACACCCTGTCCTGGGGCACAGCCCCTTCCCATTCAGGAAGAGACAAAAACTCCTCTGGGCTCAAGTGACCTCATTCCTACAGGGCCTGCTCCACTTGGAAGAAATGATCTTCAAAGGGAGAGGTTGTCACAGGAGGGGGCAGCAACCAGGAGGAAGGCTGCTGGAACTCAGAGGAGCTGATTCTTGCAACAGAGCCAGTTGGCGGAAGACAACTTACTTAGGGTATTCCGTGGGGCTGGGGAGGGAAAGCTACAACCTTGGTTGGAAAAATTCCAAACCCTAATGGGCTGCCCTGTCCCTTCCACAAAGAAGCAGGCACCAACAGGCGCCAGGTCCCCACCCCTGCTAATCTCCTGGGGTGCCCTGAGCCCCATGGGGGCCCCCAAAGCCGGAACCCAGGGCAGCTGCCCCTTTTCTTCCTCCCCTCCATCAGCTGATGGGGGGGGGGGGGGTAAAAGTCAGCTGTGTGCGGTCCGGTCCGACAGCCGGCTCTTACCAGAGCGCCGCACTGGCCCACATCGGCCCACTTTCACCTCTGTCTCCATTGATCTGGGGACTAAGGCCCAGACAGCTAAGCAACACCCATACTTATGGCGCCTAGCCTGTCCAGAGAGCAAACAGTCCTTTCCCCCCATTGGGTAACAATGCCACATATAGTAGAAACTGAGGTACACACAGGTTTCATAAAAATATTGCGGAAAATTCCCACTTCATCACACCTTCCTGAACAAGCCAGACCTGTGTAGATTCTTTTGAAAGACTCTGAGACTGAGGGCTTATCTGTGCTGAAAACTTACACCCCTCAGACATGTAGCTATGTCAATCCAACCCCCTATTTGGAAGGACTTTTAAGGGGAATGGGTCTCTGGAAACATCCAAACAGGCCCTAAAATGGTCCAACCTATTACACACACATCAACCCTCCTCAACCCGACAAACACAGAGAAGTAAAAATAAATCAGAGAAAACAACAAATCTATATACAGTTGTGTGACTGTGGTCAAAAATTGTATTTGTGGAAAAAGGGAAATTGAAACTTACCAACTTCTTCAGTAAGTTTCCCTTAAAAATACAGAAATAAATATACATTATTTTCCTCTCCGTGCTTCATGAAACAGTGTTAAAAGACTACATCCTATAGGTACAAAATTCATTAGGAGCATGGAGGAACAAGTCCAATTTATTTGGAAATTGGGCAGATATTCTTTATGGATGAAGTGAACCTGGAGCATGGACAGCTGTGTCTGAGTTATGTGACAGTTGATATGATTTTTTTTCCTAACTGAAGAAGAAATGTGTTTATTTACTGTATTTATTACTGGGGCATTTCTATTGGTCCTATCACTGTAACGTTGAGGTGCGAGACATTTTTTAGCAAAAAAGAGAGTACAAATATGAGACACTAGGCTTTGCAGAACCTTGTCTCAAGTGGAACCAGAGACAGAGAGCAATAACCCCCTGAGAACTGGGAAGAGAGGGAGATGAACAGGGCTAGCTCCAGCATTTCTACCGGCCCAAGCAAAATAAATAAAAAAAAAAAGCAGCGATCGGCGGCGGCAATTCGGCGGCAGGTCCTTCGCTCCTAGAGGGAATAAGGGACCTGCTGCCGCCGAATTGCCGCACATGACACCCCTCTCCCTTGGCCGCCCCAAGCACCTGCTTGTTAAGCTGGTGCCTGGAGCCGGCCCTGGAGACGAAGGACCAAGCAGAATACAGATGTATCTGCTATGATCTGATTCTCTGGTTCAGTTCTATTGTCTGAGATTCTCCTCCCTTCTATCTCTCCAAGAAGCCCATATACAATTGTGTAGCCATGGTCAAAAATTCTATTTGTGGAAAAAGGGAAATTGAAACTTACCAACTTCTTCAGTAAGTTTCTCTGAAAAGTACAGAAATAAATATAAATTATTCTCATTGCCTTGCTTCATGAAACAGAGTTAAAAGGCTACATCCTATAGGTACAAAACTCATTAGGAGCATGGAGGGAAAAGTCCAATTTATTTGGAAATTGGGCTGGTATTTTTTATGGATGAAGTTCAACAGCTGTGTCTGAGTTATATGATCATGGGTATGGTTTTTACTGATTTACGACAGGGGCGTGTCTATACGGCCTATCACTGTAATGTCGAGGTGCATTACACTTTATTAGCAAAAAAAAAAAAAAAAAGAGAGAGCGAGAGAGATGAGGTGAAATATGGGAGGCTCGGCTTTGCAGAATCGT